TGAGCTGCCTTGCTCTGAAATTGTGAGGAGCTGGAGTCACTCAGAGCTCTGCTTTCACCCCCCCCCTCAACATCAGCTCCCCAAATGCTCCAAATCTAAATAATTCCCTTTATTTCAAACCACCTGCAATCCAAATTGTAGCCAGGTCTAAAGTTTTAGGGTTAATTTTTGCTGCTGTTTACATCCATTTTAGTTGTAACATATTTTTGGGGGGGTCTTTTTTGCTGCTGTTTACATCCCTTTTAGTTTTAATATATTTTTTTGGAGGGTTGTTTGGGGATTCTCTGAGGAGAGCGAGCTACAAGGAGGGAGAAAATAGTTAAAGAGTAAGATTTCTCTCTTTTACTTCCTATAAAAACCAAATTTCTCTCCTTCCACATTAAATTTTCAATAGAATTACAACCCTGTGGTGTCACTCTGGAGAAAACACCATCAATACCTGATAGAATTTGGCAGTTGTGAGCTCCTGTCGCTCTCTAAATGACTTTTTATTTCTATTTCTTTATGTTTTGGTGGTTTTTTTTCTCCTCCCCCTCAAGGTTATCATTTCCCAGAGTGGGCTTACAAAACCGAATCCAGCCCAGGCTCCCGACAGATCCAGCTGTGGCATTTTATCCTGGAATTACTCCAGAAGGAGGAATTTCGTCATGTCATCGCCTGGCAGCAAGGAGAATACGGGGAGTTTGTCATCAAGGACCCTGATGAAGTGGCCAGGTTGTGGGGCAGGAGGAAATGCAAACCCCAGATGAACTATGACAAGCTGAGCCGAGCTCTCAGGTGAGTAGAAATCTCCGTGGAGGTGAGATGGGGGCTGGTAAAGAGCCTTCCACCCTTCCCTCCCTCCTTCCCTCCCTCCTTCCCTCCCTCCTTCCCTCCCTCCTTCCCTCCCTTTTAATATATTTTTTTGGAGGGTTGTTTGGGGATTCTCTGAGGAGAGCGAGCTACAAGGAGGGAGAAAATAGATAAAGAGTAAGATTTCTCTCTTTTACTTCCTATAAAAGCCAAATTTCTCTCCTTCCACATTAAATTTTTCATAGAATTACAACCCTGAGCTGCCTTGCTCTGAAATTGTGAGGAGC